TAAAGTCATTGACCCCCTCACTTTCGAGGCGAGGGATTACTTCCTGCTGCCTTGCAGTTTGCAGTTGGTTGCGCAAATGCTAGAGGTGCGCCCTCAAAATAAAAAACACCGAGTGATACTGGGGACGTCTCTCGTACCAAAATCCCGAGGAACTCCGTGATCTTGACCATGATCATGTCTGGAGCCGGCTTATCCTTTGCAAGGAGCCAGCCGCAGTAAGGTGAAGTACTAACGACAGCGACTACTGCCACTGTACATTTGCAAAACATGATAATTCCTTCACAGTTTGTCAATTCACCCCTTTCCAACTTCGCGTTATAACTTGGCAGACATTAAGGAAAAACTATTGAGTGTATCTTCAGTTAATGTATTCTGTATTGTATCTGACAGGGTCTAACCGATTGCCCATTTGGGTGTTTGTAATTTGCCCTCTTCATACCTTGTGTATTTGTGATTGCATTGAAAAAATGAGACTGCAAAATTACAGAAAACATATATTTTACCTTTCGAAATGCAATTAATATGAATGAATTCAAACTTGATTTTATGAAATGTCTTTCTCCAAACGTGATAGATGTATGCCTCATATTTACTGCGCGGTACCAACACAAATGATCGATCTATTGTAATACATGTTTATCTTGTGATAAAAGTTTCGGTATGTCAAATTATTCCTTTGTTCGTGACGGTGAAGTTTCCTTGTCATTCATTGCTTATCCTTCACAGGTTGCAGCAGAAAAGCTTCTTCAATTATTGACCTATCCGAGTCCTGGTTGGTTGGTTGACACGGATGAGGTAATTGAAAAGTCAACTAACTGTGCCACCGCAACGGCCACCACACATGGCGACGGTGAGTTAGTCAGCCCAGTTCGGGATGATGATGATACCGAGGAGGTGGATCAACTGGAGCAAATAGGTGCTGTGGATGCCACCGGTGACTACGATGGACGTCTGCATGGACTGCGGAAACCAGATGGAACCGATGCTTTCAGTGCTCTATCGGATCTGGGCGAAAACACAGAGGCCAGGCGATTACAAATGCAAGTGCTACGGGAAACCTGTTTGACGGAAACCTGTTTCCTGCTTGTGCGTTTGTACCAGACAGCTGGAATGCATGAACAATGCGTGGAACTTACAAACTTGGTTGCTTCCGAACAGTACGGTTTGCATAAGGTCAGTTGATTATTCACTTTCTACACCCCTCCCCCAATTACCCACACGTTAATGATGAAACGAATTTGAACGGTTTTGCTCTTTCTCGTCTTCTTTGTAGTTGTTTTCAAAAGCACAACTTCAAAAACTGGTTGACCAAATCAGCGAATCGATCGAACACGTTATGGCGAACGATGGTGACCCACTCGGTTATCCCGCACATCAATCAGATTCTCAGACCGCTTGAAACAATGGTCAGATGTCTCTCCCTGTTCGATCGCGGACCTCGTCCCTCCCCACCGCCACTTGCATGTTCATCTACGTTTATTCACATTTGTATTTCTGTTATTTTGTCCCGACCCTTTGCATTCCGTCTGTAAGAACCGCAATCCGATCAGACGATGTATAAATATACATTGCATTTTAACTCCATTGTGGTTTGTTCTTCACTCTCATTAAATGACTTATAGTCGGATTTGAAAATACCCGTGTCATTCTGTTTAATCTTTTGCAGTGTACCATCGAGAATATTCTCCGATTGGGTTGGTAAGTGATTTCCTCTCGTGATGAATGATGTAATGCTTCGGCCTGTTTAAAAAACCGAAGTGCTAGTTAGTCTAATTCATTTTTACTACATCTGTTTTCGGGCGTCATGTCTTCAAGGTGTTTTCTTTGTTTCTGACAAACGGTGTCATCGTTTTTAACTTGCTTTTCATTGGTTTTGATTTTGCTTGATTGTTTCTTGATTGAAAAATCCATTCTGTTTTTCAGGAGTGTTTCACCCAAGTGTTTACCGGGATTAGTGCAAAAAACTGCACACGGTAAAGCTGAGGAATTGGTACCTCTGTTGTTGGATGTGAGTTTTACGCATGCGCGTATCCATTTGTGTGTGTATCTATGTATGTCCGTATTCTTGAATATTCACATGTTTACCTCTAAGAGGCCACTTGAAACAACGGTTCCCTTTTTGGAACTGTCTCGTTTGACTCAGCAATTTTTTGCACAATCTTCGCACAAATCGTTTTTGACTCAACAGAGCTGGTTCTCTACGTCAGTTCACTGAAATTGAAAAGTAAGTTTAGCGTAATCTGTACCGGTACACCTGTCCTGATAAAACCACCCAATTAAAAGAGTTGTTTAAATGGTCCTCATTATCATCGGGAGATTATAGATGGTCATTAACAGAAATGTACTGTGGATTGATTCAGTTCAGTTTTAGTTTGACGAACCTTCACCCATTCAACTCCCTATTCTGGTTTTTGTTTGACTGATTTTGATTGGCAAATAATTGACAATATTCATCGCCAGTCTGTTCAGCTACTCACCCTCGTTGAATGTAGTTTCCGCTGAGAGACAGTGTAGCTATCGCGCCGCATATTGCAAGTTTTTAATACCTGTTTTTTCTCTTTCGAGAATGGAAACTCTTCAATCTTGCACAAGTCACACTACTACTCCATTGCTCTGTAAGATAAGTGTTTGTTCGCAGGGGCTAGTTCAGAGGATACTTTGCTGCTGAACAGGTATTGCAACTCGGTTCTCGTAACTGGGGTGAACTGGATTCCGTGCTCGGTTATTCGTCGAGCACTAGTTCAACGACAAAACCCGGTTGAACACTGAGAACATTAGACAAAAGTAGTCGATGGAGAGGAACACATAATTGAAGGGGTACGAGCCGATTCACAAGCACTAACAATGTCACCTTGACTGGTAATGAAGCGCTTGCAAACAAATTGTCAAACTCGGCGAACAGTCGAAAAGGAATTTTTGCTGCTATCCTTGACAGTTACTCATCTCACACAATCTAGCCTCAGTGAACTTAGTTGTTTTGCTTATATCGTTTTTATTTATTTCAGTCCTTTCACATTGCAAATTGAAGTACTTGGACTCATTTACGACTTCTGTTCATTCGTCTTGTTCCTTCCAGTCAGATTTACGTGAAACCGGTGTGCCATGGATTTCCGATCATCGTAAATCGGATCAGGTTAGTTCGGTTCCTTTCGCAGTCATTCTGCACTATTTTGGTTTTTGGTTTGTAGAAAAATACACTCAGTTTTTGAGGGGTTGTTCTGAAAATGTAAATTTCGCACACTGTTTCAAATTGTGGACCTGTTTCTAAAATGAGAAAATCAACGTGAGCATCAGCCGTGCTAGATCTCCCTAGATAGATATCCCTTTAACCTCGTAAGGATCCGAGAGATTTTGAATGCCCTTGGATAGACATGTGCAGGTACGTGTTCGTGAACAATGTACCATGACCATTGGGTTGTCGTTTCTTATCAGGTCAGAATGCTTGAAACGGTATGTATGCAAAGTTCGATTGCGTACTGTGTTGAACATAGTGGCTCATCTTCTTCTCCCTTCCTCAAAATGGATCCAACCCCTGTGCACCTTACATTTTACCACTAACCTAGTATGCATTGTGAGTTTGGCAACGGTCAGTGAAGTTCGCTTCACGGTATTTCACTGTACGATGATGATGATGATGTGCTTAGTTCGGACGGATACACATTATCTGGAAAAATACGCCACGATTTGAGTACTGTTAAACTTGTACAAATATCTAGGCCATCTTTCAGTGATGAAAAACCTCAGAAGCCAAGTCCAAATGTTCTGGGGGTTTATTCGACTCCAAACAATAGCGAATAATAATGCGGTACTATGAATAAAACGATTACAATGCGTAAACAATACATCTCACATCATGGTGTTTCTCAGGGAACATGTCTGAACCGGTGAACTGAACACTTGTTACAGAAGAATAATGAAGGATTTGCTCCAATTTAAAAGAGGGAATTCGTCACGTGTACAGCACGTGAAGCGTGAACTGAAAAGCTAAGAAGCACTGCTGTTTCGACCCGGTTGGGTTTCATCAGCAGTGCGATTCCATCGACCCAACTGGGGATCGAACCCGGGACTTCTCAGGTAGAACGCAAGCATACTACTCATTCGACTACCGGGCAGTTGATCAGACCCAGCTGATGAAATCCTGACAAGTCGCAACAGCTGTACAGTGCTTTCCAACTTTTCAGTTCACGCTTTATTTACTCTAAATACGTCGCATTCCGACTTTGAAAATGAACACTGCCAATCGGGTGCCCAACGTGCAAACGAAGGAGATCACCACTCCGTCAGGCGAACAAGCGAAAGGTGAAATCAAGTCATAATGCACATATACACGTGGGTGAGACAAATGGCCAATCTGAACAGGATCAAACACCCCGATACGGCAATTAGAGGTTAGGGTGAGTCATACCGTATCAGGATCAGTGACGGTGGTCATGAGAAGGAGACGGGGGAGGGGCTGTTAGAACATGCAAGTTTGGTAGACGAGCAAATAAATGGAATAATTTGTGGCGAACGCGAAGTGCATGTCGGGATACGAGATATCGGGCGATCGATAATGCGTGTGGGTCAAGACAATGACAAATGACAGATAAATGACAAAGCAGATTTGTGAATGGAAACGTGTGTAGGGTAGCAGAAGAGATTCAACACAAGAGTATCACACATCTGCGGCACCCAGTGATTCAGTCAGCTGTCATTTTATCGAGACAGTAACAAGTATCATTCCAGAACTGGTTGAATTTAACTGCTTCATTTCTCTTTGTTACCGAAGTTCACTTTATGTGCACGCCATTTGCTTCTGATCAATGATTGAAATAAAAAAGGATACCATTAGGTCCTCATATTTCATGACTCCCTTCTGACAAACGGCTGTGTTCCGCATTTCGTCACTTCAGTTAGAGGCCAATGGCTTGGTTGTACAGCTCGTTCGCTTGCGCAATATTGCGATTCCGCAGGCGGATGAAGATCTCGGAACGAACCAAGGTGGTCCGCGACTGTTTCGTCTGGCTTTGACCGATGGAAGAACCACGATATCGGCTTTGGATACAGACAATCATGAAGGTTTAAGGTTTGTGCGTGTATGTCTGTGTGTCTTCTATGGTTTCTCCCTCCCTCCGGACCAGAATTCTTTTGGAGCCCATATCTGTCTTGAATGCTGATTTCATTTGTTACATTTCGTTATATTCTAGCTAACTTTCTTGCCTTTTTATTGAATAAATCCAGTCAAAATCTGAGGACGAGGTTGCTATAGCCGTGGGGTACACCACATGAAGTTGCCGAGCTAATCCACGGAATTGATTCACATAAACATAATATTACCCCGTGGTGATGAACTCTGGTTTTTGCACATACGGGTCTAGGTTGCGCGGTATTCAGGTGCGCTCGATGTGGAATGGGGCTGGACGACTAAGAGTTTTAATCGTAGTAGGGTCCAAACACATACAAATACTGCACAGCAATCGCGACTCACTTGTCAGGCTAGATCGTGGACATAGCTAGTTTCTACTGTTAGAGGACATGGGATAGTGCTTTGATTCCCGAATCGGACACTTTGGATATTAGATGTTAGCCTTGTAAATCAGCCGGATAGTGGTCCTATTTGGTGCATCCATCTTCCAATGAGTTTAGAACCAGGAGTTCGCTGTGCGTACAGATTCAATTCCATTATTTGAATCATTGCCTAAACGGTATACCGGAAACCTTTTGCTCAATCTCTCTTTATAATGATCACATTTACAAAATGGGTTTTGATCAAAATGTCCACTTTCAATGTTTTGAACTGTGTTACTTCTCACCCACTGTCCTGGTTGATCTCCGCACAAATGATTTTCTTCTACTGTCTCATGTTCCAGTATGGATACACCTCCAGGGACAAAAATACGTCTGTTGGGCACAATTCCCATTAGCATGGGATTTCTCATTCTCCGTAAGGATCGTTTCCAAGTTTTGGGTGGCAATGTGCCCGATTTGATTCGTGAATGGACAATGACCAAGGTCAGTTCAACCGTTGTTTATTCCAAAATGATATTAGCAAATTTGTGCAGGTACATTGACTACTGCACACCGGGGATACGAAAAATAAACGTCTCACAATAACTAGCTCATTCAAGAAATTCGCGATGGTCGCAATGAGTAATAGGTGGGATAAAGCAGATAGTTTTGAGACGTCTGCTTAAGATTCTTGCTTTGCACGTCTGAACAAGACTGAGTGAGAATGGTATGGTCTTCTTCGGAGTGATGGAAGAATGCACCCTACACAAGACTATGTATTGTCGATGGTGAAATGGGATGTGATAGACCTCAATTGCAAGCATAACACGAGGTTTGGAAGGACTCAAACGGGTTAATAGCACACACCCAACTGAAACATGCCTAGAAAAACATTCACCGCTTACTCGCGCACGTCCGGTTGTCTGACGAGCAGCGTACTTGGACATCTGTTTGCTTTACGGAGTTTATTTGGTTCACTTAAGCATAAGCCGAAAAACTGCCCATGCTACAACTAAAGAAAATATACGATTCAGTGGTTTATAATTTGATTGATTTGATGATTTCAATGATGATGATGATGATCAGCTTCATTGAAGATGAAAACCAGCGTGGCGGGTCGTAAAAGTTTGCGGGTTTAACTGATGAATAATGGCGCCTTATGGAATGTGAGATTTACTAATGTTTCCTAACTTCTGGTTTTGGTGAATTGATCTGGGCTAAAAGTAATTGTCATGGTCTGATACATGAGGTTTGGTCCTGCGCACGGACTATTGGTCCGAAAGAGATATAGACACTCAAGGCAGACTGTCTTCACTTGTGATTTATTGTTTTATTATTATTATTAATATTATTATTGTTATTATTATTACTATTATTATTATTATTGTTATTGGTATGTTATGTTTTCACCTTTTTCTACAGCAAGCCAAAGTTACTGGTCGCTTAAAATCGGGTGAAGGAGGTCCTCCTCCATTCGTCCCGTTCGGGAGTAAAGAGGCATCGGTTTTGGTTCAAACAGAAAGCCGCTTCCTACAGTCGCTACGCAGGAATCGTGGTCAAAGTGGTGGTATGTGATGATATTTCATTAGTTCTGTAAATACTCAGAAGTTCAATGACTACTGCAGTTGGCATTGAGAGTGATTCGAATTCCAGTACGTCTCAGTGATATTTTCGCTCCTAAATATTGTTGGATTTCGAAATTTAGCAATTCAGTGCCACTAATATTTCCGAATTCGACCGTTGAAAAAGGATTTTGCCGGTTTTTGTCTTGGAAATGCGGGTTTTTCGACACTGTTGGTATCGCATCTACGGTTGTCCAGGTAGTTAACAATCCCCTCAGCACGAGCACATTAATGGAAGTGAATTTCTTTTGACATAAGACAATTGTTTAACAGTCCAACGGAGGAATTGTCCGCGGATGAAAGTCGAGCAGTGTAACCTGAGTCAATATGAACGTATTCGCACACGGACAAAGTCAGAAGGCCACAACCAAAATCGTTCTGGATTCTGATTCACGTCACGTAACCGGTAGTGGATTACCTTCTAAGTCGTAATACGGTTTTGTGAAGCCGTAAAGATTGAGTGCACATATCGACGCGCTGATATTGAAAATTGTTCCGAAGCAATCAGATAAATCAGTTTGTGTGTTCAAGTTTTGAATTCCTAGTGGAGAGAGTTTTGGATTTGGCTATGAACAACAGCAATTGGTTTACTCATTTGTCACAGAAATTTCTGTGATGACTCACAGTGAGATCGCGGGACCGCTGTTTCGTCCTTGTTGGAACCCGTCATCAGTGCTTACGTTTTTTGTTGCTGCCTGGACTTCGACTATCAAACCCTTCGGGTGGGGAGTCGAAACTCGGGTCAAGGGTTTCAACTCTGCATACTCGAAGGTTCGGGGTTCGAGTCCCGACAGAGACACAAAAGTATGCACTAGTGACGAGTTCCAAAGGGACGAAACGATGTGCCTTATCGGTCATTGCAGAAATTTCTGTTGCAAATGAATGTATTTAACTGTAACGGAATTAACGAACTTCAAAGGAGTGAAGTCCACACATAGCTTCCAACATCTTCCCAAATGGGTACTCCCCCCCAAACAAAAAGAAACCAACAACCAGAACTTCCACGTGAAAACGCAAGACTAATATTAGTAGGAAGTGAACTTATAACCGGATCCCCGAGAACTCATGATCAACTTTGTGCATTCCTCTTTCGATGATCCCACCATACTAGGACATAGAAAATCGTTATGAATGTGTATTTCGTATTTCACACACTTCTGAGTGCAGACTATGTGCCAAACAAATCATAGTACAATAATCTGTTTGTGGGTGTGAGACTGCTAGGTTCCAAGGCAGTGGGGCGGTTTATAGAAACCGCAATCCATTGGGGACCATTGTTTAGTTTATCGCATCATACACCCTTTGGACGGGCTCAAACGTCCAAGGTGTCCAATACACTTCGATATCCGACCGAGCTGGTGACCACTGCCACAACCAGGAAGATTTGAGTGAGTGTACGTACGCCTCTTGTTGTTTGGTTTGGAATCAGGATTTTAGCCAACTCCACTAGGTGAACTACCAGTGGTCCACCGCCCCGGTTGTAGCTCCGGTTATTGGCTTTTCGTCCTCTCATTTTGGTGGGAAAACACCACCACTAGAAGGCAGTGAGTAAGGCTTCCTCAGCGGAGGCTACTGAAGACGATTGGTCGTATAAGAACGTTTCGAGGGGCGCAAGGTAATTGTGACCATCCGCAACCCAAAAAATCCACCGACCGTACTGAGGGCTTTCATGCTGGTACTGAAACATCTGCGACTACTCGGAACTAGGCGAACTGCCACGTTGCCGGGTCTAAATCATTCATGGAGGTTAGATTTAGTCACCGGTTAACGTGTACACCAGTGCGACGGTGATCAAACAAATTGATAGAGGAAAATTGAAATTGATTAGTGGCAGAAAACAAAAAAAATATACGACAATGGGATGTATGGTTTGTCTAAACAACACGGCCCAATCACCGTCAGTCCTCAGACAGCTCACGGTCAAAACAATGCCGAGTGCACTCGAGAGAGAGAGATTGGGACTGAGCAGCGTCACTGTGATTCGGCTCAGTGTCACATTTTCTATCCCCATGGGGTCTTGTGTGATTTGCCACTCTCAGACCCAATACACAAGTCCCCGGCTCACGGTTGATCCTCTTGTCCATGTCCACTACCTCTTCTGCTGTTCATCAC